TCTTAACTATATAGAAAGAAGTTAGCAAGGAGCTAACAAATGGTATCGGTATATGCTAGAAGAAATCAATTTAATAGCACTCCACAAATAAAACCTTGATAAAGACAGCGTTTAACACTAGATATTAATATTAAGTTTTGTTGTCATGCCAGGCCCAAAAAACCGTAGAGAATTGTTAGTAGAGCAGAGAGTTCACATAAAAGCTTTACGTGATGCTGGTTGGACTCTCCGACAAATTGCTGCAGACTTGAAATGCTCTCCAAACACTGTCAAGTACACTCTAGATCGTGAGACCGAGACAGGTAAATATGAAAATAGGAAAGGAAAAGGCAGAACAACTAAACTCAATGATACTGATGTTAAGTATCTTCATTTATGCATCCTTTGAGACAGAAGGAAGACTGCCACTGATTTCAAGCATGAGATAAACGACCATGTACCAAATGACAGAAAAGTATCCAGATCTACAGTATCAAGAATACTCAACGTGTAACAGTTTAAAAAAAAATTACTTCGATCTTCAAATATTGTCAAGAGACTGAAATTTGCTAAAAAGTACAAAAACTGGACTGTTGATGATTGAAAAAGGTTGTTATGGATGAGTCCAAGTTTGAAATATTTGGTTCAAAGCGCAGGTTGTACATCCGGCGCTACTTACCTCAATGCATAGCACCTACCATGAAGCATGGGGGAGGCAGTGTGATGATTTGGGGCAACAAGAGATATTGGCAATATAGATGGAATAATGGACCAGCACAACTGCCATCAGATACTGATCCGTCATGGTATACCAATGATTTGTGTATTATTGGTAAAGGATTCTACTACCAAGAAGATAATGACACCAAACACTCATCCAGCCATGTAGACATTACTTAGCTAAAAAAGAAGCTGGTGGAGTCATTCAAATGATGCAATGGTCACCACAGAACTCCGATCTCAACACAATTGAACAGATCTAGGATTTTATGGATAAAAACACTTGACAAATCAAAAGTTAGTTCCAAATAAACTTTATGTGAGTATATTAGACACATTTGGAGTAAAATCCCGAAGGATGCTTTGATTAAATATGTTGTAACAATGCCTGAAAGACTGTCTGCAGTTATTAAAGCAAAAGGAAGACACACAAAATATTAACTGTCTTGCTGAACTCAAGCACTTCCACTGAGTTTCTGTTGTACTAACTATGAAGATTAATAAAATTTTGATGTTTCACTTGTGATTTACCTTCCATTGTTCTTTGAAAGTACCCTGAAATCTAATTTTTGACTGTGTCCTAACAACTTTGCACAGTACTGTATAAAGAGCACAACAGCTTGTATATAACAAGTCTTCTATGGATCAATCTACAGATATAAAGGGTATGATACCTTGTGTATAACAAGTCTTCTATGGACCAATCTACAGATATAAAGAGTACACCTTGTATATAACAACTCTTCTACAGACCAATCTACAAATATAAAGAGTATGACACCTTGTGTATAACAAGTCTTCTATGGACCAATCTACAGATATA